AGAAATTTGGACAAATTCTAAATATCGTGAGTGATACCACTACCTTCCAGTCCTTGTCTACTTCCAAGTCTTTTTCAATAGAATATCAACTTGCAATAGCTTTGTATCGCTTTGGAAATGATGGCTCAGGTACGTCATTTCCTAGGATTTCTGAACACTTTGGAATAAGCGGGGCAGAAATGATACATTTGTGCACTGAACGTGTGATTACGGTAAGTCAAGGATAATTATTTCTTTACATTATTATTAAACTTATAAATTTAAATTAATATTATATTTTTATATTTATACAGGCGCTGCTCTCTGTAGAGAAAAAATACATAACTTGGCCGAGCGAATTGGAACGCAAGCACATTTGCGCAACGATGATGAACTCGCTTCCAGGATGTATTGGTTACATGGATGGTACACATATACCGTTGTTCGAGGCACCTCTGCAAGACCATGAAGCGTATTTTAGTAGAAAACAGCAGTACGCACTACACATACATGCAATCTGTGATAATCATTTGCTATTTAGGAGTGTCTCAGTAGGTTATCCGGCTAGTGCACATGATGCTAGAGTTTTCGCCAACTCGCCCATTGGTCTACATCCAGAGAATTACTTATCAGACGGTCAATGGATAGCAGGAGATTCAGCCTACCGCTGTAATCGATACGTAGTGACTCCGTTTAGAGAAAATTCAAATGTTGGAACACGAAGAGATAGGCGTCGTTTCAACCGTCATTTTTCAAGTATTTTATTAATTACGTTATTACACAAGTATGTTTATGATTTAGAACATTATCCTATTGCTCACAAAACATTGTATTCAGGTAAACGAGTGAAAATCGAGCATGCATTTGGAATTTTAAAAATGTTATTTAGAAGTCTTCGATCCTTGCGTGTTCGAATAAATAAGAACAAAGGACATCGACGAGCATGTCAGTGGATTATAACTTGTATAGTATTGTATAACATTATTAAGCCAAAACCACAGGACTACAACTTCGATGTAGAACAAGTTTTTCATCACTTCGAACAGGAGCTGCAATACGATGAGACTAGAGGTGAAAATAACTGCCAAAGAGAGATTTTATTCCAGTGGTTTTTGCAAAGAAATATTTAGTTTTCTTAGTTACCATTTTATTCCCTTGTTTCAAGATTATACAGAAAATAAAAATGGAACAAAAATAATATGAATAATATTATGTATTTATATTATATAAAATATATATTTATATTATTATAAAACAGAATATAATGTTGTATAATTATCATAATTATCTCTCGAACGATCGCATCAAAAGTTGAAATAGGAACAGTTGCATAAGATGTAGGTGACACCCTAAAGTATTTCCCTCGTAAATGTTAACAAAAAAAAATTTTCTTTACTTTTCTCTTCATTTTATAAAATTTTTTAAATTTATTTTTTTTAAATGTAATTTCTGTAGTATAAAAAAATTTTAATTTTAATGAAAAAAAAAGACCTTCAGCAATCGTAAAATTTTTCCATGTCGTGATCATAAAAATAAAATAGCTAGGGTGTAGCCTACACCCCACGCGATCTTTCGAGGGTTATACAGAGACTTCCCTGGTAATTATTCAATACCCATTTTTAATTTTTCCAACTCAAGATCATGCTGTAATTTTAATTTCTGGAGCTCTGCATCTTTTTCAATTTTTAACTTCTCAAGTTCAAATTGCCGGTCTTCACTTTTTTTTTGTCTTTCTATATCTGCCGTCCACTTCTCACGTTCGAACTTTAATTGCTGCTGCTTAAATTCTTGTTCTATTTGGAATCGTGTCTGTTGTTCAGCATGCATCTGCACCTCCTTTGCCTTTTCCCAATTCAGACGTTTCTCTTCAACAACAATTCTTGCTTTCAGAGAATTTTCTAGCGCCGCTGCAGCAGACTTAATAGGGCTTTTTCGTAATCTTTTCTTTAAAGGTTCATCCTCTGACGTCGATGTAGTGGGTGTTTCAACAACGTGTTCAATAATTTGAAAACTCAAAGCATCTATATCATCAGGTAGGTTGGGGAGTGTGTTCAGGAGTGTGTCAACAGTTGTATCATTATTTGTATCAGTTTCTATTTCCAAACTTGTTCCGTCACCATCCAACTCAATATCATCACTATGATGGATGTAAGGAGGATTGATGTGAGGCTTGTCACCGAGGATTTCGTCCAACTCGAAAAAAAATTTACAACGCTTGATTAGCTCCACTAAAAGTTAAAATATGTATCAGATAAGCATAATCATAAACGTCACTTATAGTTTATAAAACGAATGAATCATATAACGCTTAATAAATCATATAATCATATATACTTTTTACAGTATCACTTCCTGTCTCGACATTTTCTTGAAGAATGTCTTGTCTAGTTTTGTTTCGCCATTCCAAAGCTTTATTGTACGATGCCTTCATATTCTTCATATGTTGAACAAGCTTAGCATTGTTAATATTCTCAAAAAGTGGAAGTTGGTGAATGCGTAAGAAATTTTTGTAGTACTCGGGTGCGGTTGGCTTCTGGAAAACCATTTTAAATGTTTAAATATAAATGAAGGTTTTAAATATATACCCAGTAAACATCGAGCATCAGTTACATTGCATCTGTGTTACAATTCCTCACTCAACAAAGTAAATGCAATATAACATATGTGTTATATTACATTTACATTGTTGAGTGAGAAATTATAGATGCAATGTAATTGATGCTCGGTGTTTATTGGGTATTTGAATATTCACTGATGTAATAGCCATTTTGCCCATTTACTTCGAATTGTCTTCCTATGGATATGCCATCCTTGGCGTAATCTAAAATCGCTTTCTCCATTTCTTCAGTCCACTTCTGGCGAGGATTAATCACTACACGTGACTTTTTGGTCCTTTAAATGAGATTAAAAAAGTTTTCAAATTTTTTTTCCGTACTTTTTTATAAATTAATTTAAAAATTATTTAACGTAATACAATAGGTAATAGAAATTGACATTCATTCCATCAGGTTCCACACAGCTTTTTCTTGGCATTTTGTAGACTCGTACCCAGCAGGCCTATTCTGTAATTATTAACAATAATGTCGTTATTGATGCTGTCGTTGCGCTGATAGTAAAAAAAGCTGCGCAATGACATATCGATAATGACACTATTGTTACAGATACAGAATAGACTTAAGTGCGTCCAGACTTGTGTCGTATCACCGTATCATATCCTGGATCATGTATCATGATCAGCTAAGAATAGGTATTTACATATATACGGCACCCCGTCCACACTTAGCTGATCATAATACGCGATCCAGGACATATACGATATGAACGCACCTTTACAGTGCTGCTAGAATGTAAGCTGCTAGATCGTGGAATAGGAGAGCTTTCACCACTGAATGCAGGATGCCACTAACTTAACCTAACCTATCCACACGTACAGCATGTCAGTTTAGCCGAAGACGAATGCTTAACCTATCGTATTAACCTTTAGGTTAAAAGTTTAAAAATTAACTTTTTAACCTGACATAACCTGTCAAACCGTTAAACTTTACCTTATTTGAATACCCCTATTGTAGATTTGGCTTAAGATTTTTTTCCAAATTGTATCGGTTTCTATCGTTTTCTATCAGGATTTTTCTTATCGGGGTATACTTCGGAAAAATCTTTATTACGCAATATAGTGCCTGTTACACGTGCATATATATGTAAATACAGATTACTTTCTCGTTTTCTTCATATTGATCTCTGACAACAGGCAGGAGCCAAAAAACGGAAGAAGAGAAGCACACCTTGTTTTTCCTTCAACATGTCTTACACTTGCAATAACTGTAAACGTCACGTGGATCTCATTGCCGTCAGATACCATTGTACAGTTTGTGACGTATGTATATTAGATTGCTTTGGAGAAAAATACTTTTGCCACTTTTCATGACTTTTATGCTTACTGTAATTGCGCTTTTTTTACAGGATTTCGATTTATGTGTAAATTGTAAAGATAAGGACGGTCATCCGCACCAGATGGAAAAACTTGGCTTTGCTTTTGATAATGGCTCTTCAGTGACAAATGCACAGAAACTTTTATACATACTGTGCGCGCATGCACAGGCGTGCAGAGATGCTAACTGTCATCTACCCCCACCGATGAAACCGCATTATTGCCAGCTGATGAAGCGAACCATGATGCATGGAAAGTGTTGCAGAATAAGAAGGAACGTTGACAACTGTTCTATGTGTAAGCAGCTGATTGGGTTGTATTTTAACCGTGCGAGTGTCTCGTTCCATTCTGCTCCCCCTTGACAGAGGAGACAACTTACAACTTACAACAATTGACGATCAACGATGATTCAGCGTCAGCGTTGGATGCTGAATAAATATAACTTCATTTTTTCTAAAAATTTTTGTTTGCTGAAAATGAGCGTCAAGCGTCAACGTAAAAAATGACGCCTTACGACCATGTATAAAGACGTCATTTTAAAAATATCTTAAAGCCCAAATAAAGTTTTTTTGTAACTATTTTTACTTAATGTTGTATAATAAAATAATAATAAAGACTACAAATTTAACTATAATATGTTTAATTGTTTCGCAACTTTATGATTGAAGCAATGAATTTATGGTATAAGTTGATGCAGTTGCGTATGATTAGTGGTTTCGGTTTCGTTGATGCCGATTGCGCCCGCATTCCTGGAGGCCTATTAAGCCTTGTGTCCACGATAGTAGAAATCCCCACGCGAGATTAGAAGGGGATGCCTGCGTACATTATAAAGCGATACTGATTACCCTGGCATTGCACCTAATCTTGTTGATGTTCGAGTTGTTAGTATGCGACAAATTGGAATTTGAGAGACACTTGCGGATACTGGTGTTCATATCCTTGATTTTCATCTCAATAGTATCAATTGCAGTAAGTATAAACTACTTTTTCAAATTGCTGCCAGCATTTTTATCAACGTGTACTCTCACCTTTTGATCTGTGTTACGATTTAGGTTTGCATCTGGGCTGTAAAACGTGATTGGTCGTTCGAACTGGAACTGTTTCGCGCAGTGAATGTATTACAGTTTATCTTTTTGGTTTTGAGATTTGACAGCTTTATAACGTGGAGCTGGGAAGTTGTGTTCGTGCCGCTGTGGGCACTCCTTTGTTTATCTTTAGTGGCTGTTTTGTACGCGATAGTATTCGCCGCTGTTTTACTGAGAACGCCGCAGATCAATGCCCGCCAGAAGCGGACCTCAAATCCTTGCACTCGGCGGTGGCGTATACATTTCTAGTTGTTCCCATTTTAGTGTTCCAGGTATAACTAGCGCATTGTTTCGTGTATGCTTCGTTAAATGAATCGTTAATCGACTTAATTTTTCCTTTCCTTTCCTATTATTTAACATAAATTATTCTGTTTCAGGTATTGCTAGCGAATAAATTAGACGGAGATATTTCAATAAATTATATAACAGTGGCAAAGCTACTCCTGTCGCACATGACACTTATTGTTATGTCCTTTGGCGCAAAAGGTGGAAATAGATGTGAGAAATAATTTGGTAAATTTTATTATTTAGTAATAAGATAATAAAATATATTATTTTTTTTCTTTTGATATAACATGTATATAAGATTATTTCGTTATTAATTTTATTTAGCATGTAAGAACGATGGAATGTTTGTCTAGGGTGGTTTGGTATCAGAAAATACTTTTGTCACTTTCTGCTAGGTTTATGTCCATTGCTTCAAGAATATAATAATATATCTATCAACCAAAGGACGAGCGAGATCAACCGCCATCCGAGCCAATGATTACGGAAAAGAGCGAGAAGTTTATTAAGAAAATCGACCTAATGAAACCTGTTGTGCCTTCTCTATAGAT